AGAGAGGGAGATCAATAAGGCGAAGAGGAGGCAGGTGTGAGATAAATAAAAATAATTCAGACATGGTTCAGTGAGTTGATTCAAATATTTCTTTTAAGAAATCAAAGTTGTGATCATTGAAGGATCTAATTATTTTCTTGCGTTCATTAATATTTTTTATATTTCTTAGTTCAATGGGAACTTGATTGACAAGTTTCGGCCCAAACCTTTGGGTATATGTTTTTACAAAAAGGAACACTAATTGTTCTCTCGGATTTGGCTCGGGTGTTGTGTATGTGTGTTAAATATGTGAGAGGCGAGTTCAACGTCCATAGTACACAGTGATAGGTATATAATTTTCTGATATTGAATAAACTAGCCTATTTGTAGAAGCTATCAGTTTAAAATTTGTTCTGTTCAAAATCTGTTTTTCCGTTAATCAGCTGTTGCCCCCCTACAAACGACAACTCTTAGAAGTTGAGAAACTTGTGCGAGCTAAGGACTAACGAGGTATTTCAAGCAATGTGTTTTGTATCACTTGAAGATTATGTAAGTGTGTTTTATTCAACCCACTCCAAACAATAGTACAGTACCTTATAACTGATTCAGCTAATGCATCGTATGTCATCAGTAATAAATGTTTATTTAGTATGTTTTGGAGTTGGTAGAATTTAAAAATGAGTTTTCTGAGTATTTTCACGAGAAAATCTACATGATTGTCCCAGCATACATGCTGGTCAAGTATCACACCCAGATATTTTATTGTATCCGTTTTTTTATACGTGGGCAAGAACAAATTAAAGGAGTTTAGCAATTGGTAGTATGTATGAAAATGTTTGCCTCTAGTGCTTGGTCTCTTATTGTTGATGAAAAGGTTAAGAATTTTGTTTTATCGACATTCAGACTCAGGAGACTAAAATCCATTTTGTGCTTTTGCATGTGTTACCATGCATGGGTTATCGGCAAATGAAACAATATCACCATCGAAGTACTTCAGGTTGTAAATGCTGTTAATATATATAAGAAATAGAATTGGACCCATGACAGTGCCCTGGGGAACACTCATGACGACTGGTTATGTCTTGCTAAAAGTGCCGTTTATTATGACCCTTTGGATTCGGTCTTGTAAATAATCAGCTATTAGTTCTAGTGGCTCACTTCCCCTCACTTCCACATTTCCTAACCTCTTTAACAAAATATCATGATTGACAGTGTCGGAGACTTTGGCCAAATCTAAGAACACCACTAGACATTTTTCTCTTCGTTAGCTTTATTCAGTATTTTATTCTCCAAGTGAAAAACTGCGTTTTCGGTTGACATATTTTCTCTGAATCCATATTGGCAAGGTGATAGAATCTGATGTTTTCCAGAAAATTTACAAGTCTACCTTTTATGCATTACTGTTAGGCCACCGCTTCTCATTCTTCTTTCGAAATAAGTTTTTCGAATTTGTAATAGTTGATATAGGTATGTGTTTTTTGTTCCTTTCTGTATTCAGTTGTTTGACTGGGAAGTTCGATAGATAGTAACAACATATATAGATTAGTCAAGTTTGAGGTGAATATTGAAGAGTTGAAACAATTTTTTTTGACACTTTCATTAACCCTTAACTGTGCTGGCTATTTTAAATAACACCTGCATGCTGGTGGGGTCTCAACGTACCCCAAAAAATTAAATGTGTAGGACAGTTACTGTAAACTCAATGAACTAAGTTATATTCAAAATCACATGTGATACATACTGTTATCATAACATAAATATTTAAAGGCAACTATTACAAATAGTATTTGAATGAATGGAGCAAATGTGTTTTTTGCACTTTTTGCACACTGTTTTCGTTTTTCGATCATAACTTCTTGGACAATCAGAACAACGAGCTTTCCTTATTGGGTTTTCTTCTGAAGATGCAGTAGAGGCTTCTGAATCACCTAGTTTGATTATTATCTGCCGTAGTTCTTGTGTGAGATGTGTTGTATCCCGGCGTTCGATATGAGGTTTTATCAGCGATTTTCCTAATTGATTCAGGTATGAACGCCTGACTTTTTTTATTTCGTCATAACTTTCATTGCATTTAAGAATTGTTAATCTGTTTAAACCAGCAATATTCAAAATGGCACGTCTGGTTCGACGTGCTACAGAGTACCCAGCACACATTTGATCAAGTGTATCGACTCCACATTTGTAAGTATTATAATCGTTTATTATATCAGGTTTTCCATTTTCACCAATTTTCTGATCATCATGCATTGTCGACAATAAAACGACAGATTTATTTTTATTAGGTACGAAGGAATAAATAGTTTTTTCTTCATTGTGTCCAAATAAACTTAATCCCACTGGACGATTTTTATCCGCTTTGAATTCTGGAGGAATTTGAGGTTTATTCATTTTCAATGTTCCAACTACTGTAAGTCCCCTTTTTTTCAATTCATCACACAATTCCATAGAAAGAAACCAATTATCCACAACCACATTTCTATTGGTTCCTTGAATTTCAGGAACAAGTTCTAAAACGGACTTGGTCGGAACCAATAATTCTTGTTTCTTTTGTTTCTTTCCTCTTTCTTCCATCTCTCCATTAGTCTTATCTTTCTCCCCCCCGACATTGGTATCTTTTCCTGTATAAATAAATGCATTGCACAAATAAAATGTGCGTGAATCACACATGCACATAATTTTTATGCCATATTTGGCCGGTTTTTTGGGCATGTACATTTTGAATGAACATCTTCCTCGAAATGGTACCAACATCTCATCAATTGTTACGTTGTTGCCAGGCGTATAGAATTTTTTGCAGTTTTCTATAAACATATTCCATATTTGTCTAACCGCCGCTAGTTTGTCGGAAGTTTTTCTCTGTTCCCTATCTTCTTTATCATCAAATCGTAAACAACATAAAATAAACAAGAAACGGGACACGCTCATAGNCGAGAGAACAATTATATCTAAATTGTTAACAGACAAATATTCTAAATACAAGGGCAAATTCATCGATTTTTCAAGCTCCTAATGTTTAATAATATTAAATAAATGCTTACCACTGAACCGTTCTGTGTTTTCGAATATACCATTATATACTGTTGCCTTCCTCTTCGCGTGCTCATCCAATTTATTGAGATGGTTGATCATTGATGAAAAATTAATGTACTGATGAGAAACTATAATAAAATAAGAATATGGAATACAAAATAAAAATATTCAAATTAGTCTAATCTGGCTGCCTAGTTTAACTTTTTAGCTCAAACAGTATATTTCTAAATCTCGATGGCTATAGATTTTTTCAGTTTTTTCCTCAATTTTCACAGGGTATGTGCAGCGTTAAACACAAAAACATTGCTGCTTACGTGAAAGAAAAAACATGAATGCCAATGTTAAATGAAAAACATGGCTGCCATTGAGGTATACAGTGTGTGACAAAATACATCATTCGAGAAAAAACATGACAGTTCAAAGGGGCTCTATCGTTTCAAAGTGCGATCCCTCAGTGTATACAGGTAGTCTCAAAATACATTAAGAAAAAACAAGGCGTTAATGTGTACAATATGTGGCAAAATACATCATTCAAGAAAAAAACATGACAGTTCAACGGGGCTTTTACGTTTAAACGTCCGATTCCTCAATGTCTACAGGTTGTGTCAAAATACAAGGGAACAGAAACAATTTGGCGAATTGACGCCATACAATCCACTTCAACATAAGCTTCAACACGTCGACTTTTTTTCCTTCACTGAAGATGAAGTTAATGGCATTTTCTTCTGGTTCATTTCGCATTTTTCTTTCTAGTTTTGGAAAATAATGCCGAGAGGGATGGCGACGATTAGGGAACCTCTGAGCATGAATTCGAGCTGCATCAGTTGAATTCTTTTAATTCAGCAGAACCTCCAACATATTGGGATTCCTTTTGTCAAAAACTCTACACGAAAATAGGTTTAAAAAACGAAATACTATATTAAAAATGTACAATGCTCCTGTAGAAAAAGTTATATAAGGTAAAGACTCTAAATGAAAGAACATCGGATATTTGTTATGGAAAGAGAGAACAGGATCGGGCACAATGGAGCATATTCTCCAATTACCGCAATAATTACGCAATGAAAAAAAAATACACCAACGAACCTCATCGAAATATGAGAAAACCCAAAGAATCCGCACATATTCTTTCAGCAGGTAACGGGTGTGTTTCAAATAACTTTATGGATATGGGTCGAACCAGGTTGCCATTGCTAATGCGAAGGTTTGAAAACGGAAATATGAACTTGAACTGAATTTTCAGTTCAAGTATTTGTATTCAAGTAAACTATCGAATTTAAAATCTGAACATTTCATTCTTTCAACATGCGTCAAAGAAAATATAGCTGTTGTGAATTTTTTTGGTATTTCAAAAAAGAAAAACAATACGTCAACATTCTGAAAAAAGCTTAAAATGAGTAAAGAAATTTCATTTCTTTCAACCGATTATTCAATTTGTATGCAAAATTTATAGATACAAGTTACTGTTAGTATTATATTGTAAAAACGATTTGTATCTAATACTAGATCATGCAATCAATTTATGAGTTCATTTATGACTTACTTCAACATTCGGAATATTCATCGTCTGTTGTGTTAACAGAAAAACAACTGTAAATCGTCTATGGAGATAAGAGAATGTTTTTTATTTTTTCACAAATCATCACAGTGGAAACGTGTTGAAATTAATTTATTGCGAAATATCACAGAAAAGTAGAACATTTTTGTTGAATATGGTAAATATCCTTGAAAAAAACATTAAGTCACCTGAAAAACTTATTGTACTAAAGTACAAAAATGCCCGCTCTGATTTTGAAAGATGAACATTCTGGTGCAATTGTCTGGAATTGCGTAAACAACATTTCCATACAATGTGGCAGGAATCGTTGTTGTAATGGAATTAGAGAAACGGCAAAATTCCCCAGACTTATCTGGGATTTGATAATTTCGAATAACAAGCTTCAAGCCAATCAACCGAAAGATTTTTCCCTCAGTCATATAGATAGTCTATTTTTTCACTGAAAAATGGTGTTCACCCAATTGTGGTTCATATTCTTGCACTCACGGAAACCAAAATCAGTGCTACAACAAAACCTGTCGATTTTCTATATCCCGCCTATGATTTCCACTTCGTATCTAGACGTCTTAAACAAATTCATTTCCAACAATATTTCACTAGTCCCGAACTGATTTATTTATTACAACACTCAGCAACCAACGCTCAATTTATTTCCACTATTTGAATTTCTTGTTTAGCCGATCGATTCACTTTCTGAACTGCCCTCTTGGGTCTGAAAGACGTGCTCATATCGGTAACGGTCCTTTCTAGAATTATGTAGTTGGTTCGGTACTAGAATTTTACCAACGATTCCAGACTGCATTCTCTCGCGGTGATGTCATGTGTTTGTTCCATGATTCTGCCAGCGTACTGGTCAGAGGCAGCTTCAGATTTGTTACATTGCCCCCTCTCAAAGACGTTTCGCCACCATGTCTTCCTTGACGTGTGACGATACCTGCAGGACCCCCTATATCTGCACTGTGAAGTTCGATGGAAGTCTTTAAGCACAGTTTTCAAGCTCTGTCGTGGAAGATGATTACCGCAAACAAAAATCTTAATGCCGCTGGATCTGAATATCGTTTCCAAGCCTGTCAAGCCCAGAGACCAATTTTGGGATTGCCAAGTCCACAAGATTCTAGTCGAGCATCGTGTCCCTCAGTCTGATAAGACTCCTCCAGACATTTTCATCGAACGGTTTATCTCGAGAATGTTTTTGATAGCACAGTAGGAAATTTTCTTCAACCCTTCTTCAACTGTAGCACACCTCGGACTTCTGGATTCTGTTCTCGCAATGTTTGGAGCTGACCGAATTTTTTGTTGAATACCACCCCTGGACATTTGGAGATCCTCTGCCACGCAGTGAGCTAGTGCGTAATCAACTGAAACCTTGAAAACGTCTCGTGGATCTACTTGAGTTACCCCATGTACGACCTTCTGTCCGTTCGAGTATAAAGACATGAACTTCGGGAAAGTCATTTCATCGCCTGGTGGTCTGAGAGCGCGAACCTGGTCGTGATTTTCAGCATAAGGAGCAAATCCCTAGGCTTTCCTCGAGGTGACTAATGGATTCGGTAGACGAGGTCATTTATCTTCTTCCTGATTTGGTACGGACCTTGTCACGAGTTCCACAGCTTCGGTGATAATACACGGCGTCGCTTAGGGTTGTACAGCCAAACAAGGTCACCGGTTTCGAATCCTCCAGCATTCCCCTTGATGTCATAGGCCTTCTTTATCCTATCGCTGGCACTCCGGATGTTCAGATGGACTCGTTCACGGATGTCGTCCATTATCTGCCGAAGCTTGCTGACATAGTCTTCCCCCGAAGTGTCTTGTTCTGTCGGCATCTCAAATTTCAGATCACAAGGAAGCCACAGCTCTTGGTCTACCATAATACTGGCAGGGGTTTGGCCGGTTGACTTGTACACTACCAAACGATAGGCCAACAGGAACAGATGGAGGTACTGGTCCCAGTCTCTTTGATGGTCAGAGACTACCTTGGACTACCTTCGTTTATGGTCTTATTCATTCGTTCCACTATTCCATCAGACTGTGGATGTAAGGCTGTGATTCTGTTCATTCGAATGTTCAACAGTTTACACATTTTTTGGAACAGGTTGGACACGAAATTTCTGCCCTGGTCCGAATGCTCCAATGGGACACTGAATCGATATACCCATTCCTTTACCAGGACGTCAGTGACAGTAAAGGCTTCCTGGTTGGGCAGGGCATAGACTTCTGCCCACTTACTGAAGTAATCCATGGCTACCAGGATATATTTGTTCCCATGGTCGGACACTGGGGAAGGGCCGGCGATGTCGTTGGCGAGACTCTCGAAGGGACTACCCACATTATACTGGCGCATTGTAGCTTTTGGTTGTATCCAAGGTCTATTACTAGCATCACATACATCACACAAACACCAGTCCTTGACGTCGGCTTGACAATTAACCCAATGAAACCGTTGTCATAATTTGTGGAGGGTCCTCGTTACTCCCAGATGTCCTCCAGTGACTCCATCATGGATTTCGTCGAGCACCTCTCGTTGTCTAGTCCTGGGTACCACTGTCGGGCGCCTTTCTTCTCTATCGTTCTCAGACTTCAATACCCGCTCCAGAACCCCGTTTTATAAGGTAAGGGAGTTTCATTGTGGCCCAGTAGAACTTAATCGCTGGCGAATAACCTGCTACCTTCTGCCACGATGGTCTTTGATTAATTTTCCTCCATCCGATGACCAACCCAAGATCTAGGTATTTCTCTTGGTCTTCCTTGATCTTACTGTCCTCCCAGTTATCGTCTACAGCTGTAGTTCTACAAATAGCTGCTCCCTTCTCTTCTGCTCGTTGGCAATGTTACCAGTCATCAGAGCATGGTCTCCGTGACAGGGCATCTGCGTTTTTATGGCTAGTCCCAGCCCAATGTTTGATGTCCAAGTCAAATTGTTGTAGATTCTCAATACAGCGCACTACTTGACCCTCGGGATTTTTGAACTACAGAAGCCATATGAAAGCTGCATGGTCCGTTCTCAACAGGAATCTTCATCCATACACGTATTTGTAAAAATGCTCTACACCTTTGACAACGTCCAACAGCTCCCGCCTTGTGACAAAATAATTGCGCTCTGGTTCACTGAGCGTTTTACTGAAGTAGCCAATAGCTTTCTCCTCTCCCACCTGGATCTGAGAAAGGACTGCTCTAAGTCCCACGTTGCTGGTGTCCGTATCTGAAATGAATGTTTCGTTCGGTAGACGATAGCTCAAAACAGGAGCGTTGATCGAAGCTCTTTTCAACTTCTCGAATGAGTCTTGGCATTCCTCGGACCACTGGAACTGGATCTGTCCCTCTGTGAATCGAGTCAATGGTTTGACGATGTTGGCAAACCCCAGCATATATCTGCGATAGTAGGTGCACAAACCACGGAAGCTCCGAAGTTAATGTATGTCTTTTGGAATAGGTCAATCCTTAACCGCTTCGATCTTTTGTTCGTCCACCACCACTTCTTCTCTAGAGACAATGTGGCCAAGGTAACGGACTTCTTTGACCACGATTATATCGTCGAGATACACTAGACCCGTCTTCCATGAGAGTCCCTTGAGAATCGTCTCCATCAATCTTTCGAAGGTCGCTGGAGCATAACAAATCCCGAATGGCATAACCGTAAACTGCCACAATCCTGAGCCGATGGTGAAATCTGTCTTTTCTCGATCTCCTGGGGCCAATTCATCTTGCCAATATCTACTCTTCAAATCCAAAGTCGATAAAATTGTCGTGCCAGCTAGCGTGTCTAGGGTGTCTCACAGTTCCAGCATCTCATTTGTTTCCTCTCGAGCAATACTTCTTTTATTACCTTTCTGATGGTGGCCTCAATATCAGCAGGCACCTGTTCGACTTTCTCGATAGTTCGAGATTTGCTCTGATTCTTGCAGAATTGTTTGCAGCTTCAAACTCCAGGGCGCTTGCCAGTGCATCCACGAGATGTTTGGGATGAGCTAGTATCAAGGCCTGTCGCGTTTTTTGGTCGCGAAGTCCGTCCAAGAATGCCTGAACTGCTAAACACTCCATTACATTTTCCGGTGTAGCAGGATCAGGAAATGCCAGACGAACCAAAGGAGCAATGTCGCCTTCAAATTCCTGTAGAAATTCTCCTGATTTTTGGCAGCAGTTCTTCAGCTGTAAATGGTAAACGTGCTCTAGGTGGGCCTGCCCATATTGTAGCTCAAGATGCTCAATAAGTTGGTCATAGTTTTCCTGTTCTTGGGTCGTGAGAGTTTGCAAAATATTCGTTGCTCCTCTACGCTACGACAGTGGTAATGCTACATTCCATCCATTCGCTCTGGCCGCAGCTTCGAATTGTCGGCGGTAATTTGCCCAAGCAGTTTTTCTGTCGACCTGTGACACCTTCGTGGAGAGCTTTCCTGGTTCAGGGCTGACTTTGACATCTTTCATTGCCTTTTGAAGTTCTTCCATGTTAAAAGTCAGTTCCAGAATTGAGTTTTTGGTAACAGTTTCTGTGGTGTGGGCAGAATTAACGATTTGGAATTGCAACTGGGTAATTATTTCCTTCATTTTGCTGATTTCTGCCACAACTCTAACTTTGATTTCATCGCCTATTTTTTCCATTCTCTTCATTTCTGCCCCGAATTCATTTTTGATCTCCCCTGTGATTTCCTCTACTTCCGTGTTCACTTCCTTCCTGATTTTGCCTATATCTGTCTTGATGGTTCCCATCCTTTCTTCGAGTAGGCTCACCACGCAACAAAGTTCTTTTTTCAAGCCTTCCTCATGTTTTGGAATTTCTTCCTTCAAGATATTCGAATTCACTAGAAATTTATCTTCCAAATTTTTTGAATTTTGTTGGAATTCATCTTTCAGCGATTTGGTATTCTCATCGAGTTTGCTCATTATTGAACTCATATCGCCTCCCGAAACTTCGAATAAATATGTTTCGGGATCTTCTGATTCGGTCAAGTTATCCCACAGTCCCCTCTGGAGTACTGATTTCTTTCCAGAATAATCTAGCTTCCTCTTCTCCAATTCTTGCTTCAATTCGGCGACTTATTTTAATAGAGTCCGA